TCCAGCAGCACATTTTTTATGCTGAAAAAGCCCCCAGTTTTTTTGTGCTAAAATTAGGTGCTTTGGCTTATACTCGAGTATATATGGTATAAAAACTATACAGTCAGCCAAAATAACTAATTAAAGCCTTCTCCTGTCACAAGAACACCTGTGGGCTTAAATGTCAATAGGTTTTTAAAATAAGGCAAGTAATAGAAATCACATAATCTCTGACATAAATTTAACCGAATTTGGCAAGGTAGTAAATTCATGTGGTATAATACGTAATCCAGAATCTTTACGTAGATGACTTTGGAAGGCACAGAGCTAGTTTATCTTTGGAAGAAGTCCAGCCAACCATAGACAGGTGTGGAGAAAACTATAATAAAAATTTTTAACAGTGCCTAATTGGTACATCCATTCATTTGCAAATAGGCAGGCTTTTGGATGTAGCTCATAATAGTTTCTTTAAAAGTTTTTGTTTTAGTTCATGGTTAAGTTTATCTGAAGATACAGTTTTATCTTTTAATTTGTGTCCATCAAGACTGTGTGATAAGATTGGAAGCACCACGCACCTGCCCTTCCTTTCGAAGATTGATTCCCACGGAGTATTCCCTGAGAAGGGCTGGAGGCAGGATGGCGCAGGAGGAAGAGCACAGCCTAATGAGAGGGTGCCCGGAACCCTTGGTCCAGCCAGTTTTCTCAGTTAGAAACGTAGGGAAGCCAGGCCGTGCTGGGGCTGTATTACTACAAGCACTGTGCTTCAAACTGTATTGAAAGCACTGTATATATAAGAGCAAGGCGGTGTTTTATATTCAGCCATAAAGTGCACATCAGCTTAGGTATTGGATTATTTAGCTAGGCACCTTTTGCAGTCTCTTCCTTTTTCCACCAAAACTTTTGGATTTTGAGTCCATTAGCTTCAGCCCAAACATTGAACTTTTCACACAACCTCTACCAACCATCTGTGAAGCTGAGGGGATCATTTGAAAGGTCTAACCGTTCTTCATAATTGTCGATTTAACAGCCAGCCAGAAGGAATACACACATATCGTTCAGAACCACGTAAATATTAATCGTTATTCATTGTTAATGTGTGTCCTTTTTCCTCCATAATGTTTAGAAAAATTCTGGGTGTTGCTTTACGAAAGGTTTGGTTTTTGTGCAGTTTATTTTCTGCCCATCCACATGCTTGCAAGACCATTTTTAAGACATTGAGATGTCACAAAAGCCTGCTCTTTATTTCCTACCAGTATTTATTTATCGACTCTTACCCATGTGTTTTTGGGTTTTTGCCTGTGGAAACCCCGCTTCCAAAAGGTAAATTTTAAGGCAACTTGCTCACAATACCTTTTGCTCTCAGATTTTGTGAGCTCCCGGGACTTCCAGGCAGATAGAAAGAATAGTGGATACGCTTAATCTTTTGGCAGCCCATGGTACCTACAATATTCTTCACCCAAACAAAAATAAAAAATAGTATTTTGAAAACCCAGAGATGGGTCTTCGTTCCTCTTTGTCCTGTAAATGAAAGGTCTTCGCTCAGTTGATTTGTTTTCACTGGAACTCAAACGTGATCTGCATATTTGGAAATTTTATTAGTAAGTTCACCATGCCATT